AAGATGGCCGCCCTAAATCTCGTCAGCGACAATAGACGAGAGCGGTCCATGCGGGGTCTACTCTTATATTATGTCTATGTGCAAACAACAGCAATGGACAGCAGAGCTGCTGGTCTCAGCCCACTGGGGATTCGTTTCTGCTTCAAAAACCGCTCTGACTGGATGCTGGAAAAGACTATTGTTGTGTCCAAGATGCGCTAAACTTGAACACAACAATAGGAGTGAAAGGAATTAGCCTGTCAGCTAAGCTATGCAAGGCTAAAAGAAGTGAGATGGGCCTCGACTCTGACCATGTTTAAATCCAGGATGAAAATAGCTCCTTTTAGCCACATATTTGACATCTGCAAGTATTTTATCTAAATTTTTTCTAATTTAATTAGTCTATGTTTTCTTTCTTTGTATTTCATTTATTTTATGTTGTTTCATTTTAACCTCTGTTAAAAACAGTCAAATAAATAAAGTTCTTTATTTTTCCATAAAGCACTTTGAATTGCCCTGTACACAAAATGTGCAAAATTTGCCTTGCCTAAAATAGCATCTTAATGCTAAACATGTAGCAGCAGCACTAATGTCAGCATCCACTGTCCATATTTCTAAAGAAGTTCCATGAATGATTAGTGGTTCTTGACCTCCTTGGAAGTTGAATGAGTAGAAAATAGCACTTTGCACCAATCTGATGATTGAATAACCAATGAACCGTCAGAGGTTGCAATTAGATCAGTGTTTCTCCACCCTGGTCCTCACCGTCCCCCTGTCCTGCATGTTTTAGGTATTTTCCTTCTGCCACACACCTGAATTGCATCTCTGGGTGATTAACAGGCTTCTGCAGTACCTGATGGTCATGCAGTTATTTGAATCAGCTGTTCTGGAATAGAGGCACATCTAAAACATGCAGAGCAGGGGGGCTGAGGACCAGGGTGGAGAAACACTGAATTAGATGAAGATGAATGATTTGAAAAGACTCTTTGTTGTTTAGTTGGAGTTTCTTCTCTTCCAGGAGTAAAGTAAATGGAAAAGGGTTAAAAGTTTAAAAGTGTATGATCACCCTTACAAAGTCCATCTTGAGCAAAGCTGCCTACGAAAGTCGCCCCTCAGCGTTGCCCTCCAAACGCCAGCAGTAATGTGCCACCTGTTTAAAGCTGCAAATGTGACATCCACAAGTAGCGCTCTGATTCCAGCTCCAACCACAGCCTTTATCCACAGGAAGCGGCTCCCTCGGTGGAAAAGGCCGAAAACGTGCTCTCGGGGCTCTCTGACTGTCAAAACAGATCACACTTTACTCCTTCTGTGTTGTCTTTTTCCCCCCTCAAAACAGTCAGTATTCTGTATATTTTTAGGTTTGTTTTCAGATTACTGACTGCGCGCAGCTGGTCGTTCAGGGGGGTTAGGAATGATCAGCCTCACCTTGGCAGGTGGAGTTCAGCTTGATTAGAGGAGAGAGCTGTTGCGTCTGTTCCAATCTCCAAATCTAGTTGTCACTTTAACTCAAATCCTCTGTCTCTAATTCCTCTGAATCACTGTGTATTTTGAAGCTAAAATAATCTTAAATTTTTTTCTTTCGTCCAGTCTAATGTCATCCCTATTTGTTTCTCTCGTCTCTGTAAAATTTAAATGACACAAACATGGTAAGCAACATATTGACGTGCAACCCAGGAAGAATCTACTGTTGCTTTTCTTCGTCTCATCCATTATCCTCCGCTCCTCCTCTCTCTCAGCAGGATGACTATTGGCAAATGGAGAGAGGTAGGATTAATTGCAGCTCAATGTCTATTACTGCCAGTGCTGCTTGGCTCAAGACAAGGGGAGGACAAGAGAGATAAACAAGAAGAAACAAAAGGAAAACTCAGTGAGTGAGTTTTCAACTTGAAAAAAAAATAGCTGGTTTTTCTCATCTCGTCCATCTAGCTGAAAACCAGCTAGTTTTCAGTTAGCTCCCTCAGCTAGCTGAAAACTAGCTGGAGGCAGCTAGTTTTTCAACTGTCTGATATTTCCTTCTTGTCTGAGTGTCCTACAAAACTCTCATGTTCTGCAGAGTAAGATTAAAAATACAGCATGTGATATAGATATTACAACCTGTTGGTTTTACAGTGGGGTAGCCTGGTCAAAAACCAGACACTTGTTTTAAGCTTTGCTTTGCACAGTGGGTGTAGACCCTCGGCTATTGAGAAACAATTGCTTCCTAGCATGGACTCTGCTGAAGTTTTAAATTTTACCCAATCGCTAACATTTGACCATGACGTGTGTAATGTGCCAGTTAGATGGTATGAAGTTTACCCCAAATTGCCTTCGCTGTAAACTACCATCCTCTACTGTGAAGAAAGAAATGTGGAGTTGATTGAGGCAGCTGTTAGTGTTAATTCAATATCTGAAAGTGTGGCCAACATGGAATGAGCGGCTTCGCTCACTTCTTGCGATGCCATTGCTAAAACTACAGGCAAATTACAATTTTAAAACAACATCACATACTATGTGCCAGAAAGATAGTATTCCTGTGTTTCTGGCACCCTCATGAATCTGACATGGACATCACTGGGGTTTAATTTTTGTCTCAAAGAACGATCTGATGGGACGCTGTTGTGTTCAGGTTGTGCTAAAATGAGTTAGCCAATCACTGAAGCTCTTCAAGCCTAAAATAGCATCTCAATGCTAAACATCTAGCACCAGCACAGACGTCCCCAATGCTAACATCAACGTTCACAGTCCACAGTTCCATGAATGATCAGGAATTCCTGAAACCCTGGAAAGCCGAACAGAACTTTGCACTAATCTGATGTATGAAAAATCTGAATAACAGATTAAGATCTCTATTGGCATCTTCATTTAGTAAGACTCCAGAATATTTTCTTGTGGAAGATGTAGCTGTGGTTAGTTAATTACAGCTAAGCAGGGACTCGGTGTAGGGGGGGAAAGCGATGACAATTCTAGGGGCCCTGACCAACAGGGGGCCCTCCACAATTTAATTATTTTTTGTTCATAGAAATAAAAATAAAAAAAATCGGGGCCCTGTCAATTACAAAATTAACCATATTGTATTTTCAAAGATTGTTTTTAGCAGTAAAAATTTAATATTCCCACTCACAGATCAAAAAACACACATCCATATTTGCCCTGACCCCCCTGTCTGCGTTAAATGGTTCGTTCCTGCTTGGAGCGCCTGAGAGTGACGCTGTTAGCAGCA